GGCCGCTGCGCCACCGCGCACAGCACGCGGTCGGTGGCGTCGCGCGTCAGCGTCACCCGCGTGGCCAGCGCCCCAAGCACCATATACGCTGCGACCTGCGCGTCCCTGCTGGCCAGCGCGAGCCCGTCCATGACAAGAGGCAGGACAAACTGCACCGTGCTGCCGTCGACCTGGCCCAGCTGGCCCAGGTACTGCGGGACGATCGTGGCGTAGAATGAGTGCAGGCCCGGGTAGTCCAAAGCCTGCGCGCTTGCGCGAAACACCGCCTGGCACATAAACGCCAGCACCGAGCGGTCAATCTGGCACTGCGCCTGGAGGGTTGCGCGGTCCAAAAGCCGCCGCGCCTTTCTCTGCGTCACAAGGAACCCGAACACCGCCATGTCCTCGGGGCTAAACGTGATGATCGTGAGCATTGTCAGGAACGCCTTTGTCTCGTGGTACGGCATGATGGCTGCGAGCACATCCTTGGCGTTAAACTCCTGGATCCTAAACCGCCGCACCAGCCACTCCAGTGCCTTTCCCGCCGGCTTGGTCAAGAAGTACGGCGCCAGAAGGAAGAGGAACGCCTGGATGCTCTTGTCTAGCTTCTCGTTCTCCTCCTTGGTCTGCAGCACACGGTCCATGTCCTTGACCGCCTCGGAGAAGAGCGTGTTGGCGTATGTGCTGAATTTATTGTTCATCTTGCGCAGCTCGTTGAGGCCGTCGCGACCAATGTCAAAGATCGTCTGGTTATCCATGTCCGCCGCCTGGTGCCCGTCGAAAAGGAACGACGCGCGGATCTTTTGTGCGCGCTCGCCGCTGACCATGCGGTCCACCGTGCGCATTCGGTACAGCTGACTAGCCAAAGATGATGCCATTGTCGGTGCTGTTTTACTTTTGGTGTGTTAAAGATATTTAAAGGATAAAGCCAAATAGATAAATAAAAAATATTACGAGAAACTTTGGTAAGCGAGAAGAAAAATAAATTATATATTATATAATACTTTTGGTTGGATCAAGTGTGTAGCTTTATTTTTTTTTTTTTTTTTCACACAACACACATAAAAAAATTGTAATTTGAAATTTGATCGGTTAATCCCAATCAACCCCCGCGTTCAGAAAAGAAAATGAATAAAAATTCTACAATCTCAGAAAATCCTATCCAGCACACTAGCCATGGACCCGCGTTTCTGCGCCGCGCCATCGTCCTGGCGCTCCCCCTGGGTTTTGCGGCGCTTACTGCCTGGTGCGCCATCCAGGGCATCCCCGCCAGCACCATTTGCTGCCATGCCGCCATTGCCGCGCACAACAACATCCCGCTGCCAAACATTCCTCGACCTATCCTTCATCGGCACAACCTCCTCGCCACTCTTCGCCTTCGCCTCCCGCTTCGCCTTCATACTCCCAAGCATCTTCGCCCTACCAACATTCTTCACATACGCATCCAGCTCCTTCCTCGACTGGCTAACCTCACTCTGCAGCCTCTGCTCCCTCGCCGCCTTCTCCCCGCAAGCTGCTCAGATAAATGCCGCCATTTGAACTTGGGCAAATATTTGAGGTTCCACAGATCATCATGGTAAAACCCATGCTTTTTCCCGCCCATCTGCGTATTATTGAGCATGGAAGCTACGGCGCGGGCGTATTTTTTGTTCTTAAACTCTATCCACCCTTCGACAAACTGCTTGCGCCGGTTGCCGCCGCTCTTCACACGGCTTTTGCGCCGCTTATCCTCTTCCTCTACGAGGTAGACGCGCCCGATCTGCCCGTATTTCTCTAAAAGATGCCGCACCTTGGCGGGCTTCATGAATGGCGGTACACGAGACATGTAGACTACTCCGGATTTCTTCTCGGTCTTTTGTGCACGCTCAATATCCTTGGATGACAGAAGCTTATCCTTGCTGCTTTTACCACTGCTGGCTGCTGCTGCTGAGGTGTCGCCGCTGTCTAGGTCGCCGATAAAATAGTCATCGGAGGCTTCGGAGTCGTTGTCAGACTCTGCCGGATGCTGGTCACTGCCGTTCTCAGCCACAGCCACAGCCACAGCCACAGCCACAGATTCAGCCTCAGCCTCAGCCTCAGCCTCAGCCTCAGCCTCTGCTTCTGCTTCTGCTTCTGCTTCTGCTTCTGCTTCTGCTTCTGCTTCTGCTTCTGCTTCTGTCTCTGCCTCAGAGTCGCTGTCATCACTGTCATCGTCGTATTGCTGACGTTTCCGAATCATCGAGCTGCGCCCAGCCTCCTCCTCCTCTTCATCGTCTGATCCGGTGTCTGATCCAGTGTCTGACTCCGCATCAGAGTTGCTGCTGTTGGCCGCCTGCCGCTCCTTCTTCAATGTGCTTTTGGCTGGCACAGTGGCCGCTGTGAATTTAGAACTACTGCGCTTGTTTGCTGACATAGTTAACTTGTTGCTTGCTTGATACTAATGTTTTTTTGTCAGTGTGTTAATAAAACTTGTAAATATATAAAAATAACAAAATAATATTTGAAAACCAAATTAGAAAACAAGGAAAGCAGCAAAAAAATGAATAGAAATTTTTTTGAATGGGAAAAAATCAAGAAAAAAGAGGATAATAAAAAGGAAAAAATATGAAGAGGAAAAAAAAATCAAACCACTGATCCTTCGCGCAGCACCAGGTCCTTGATGCGCCGGACCAGCATCTGCACAAAGCTCATGTGAGTCGCCGCATTAGCCACCTCGTCATTGCTCAACTTCAGCTCCGAAAGCAGCGTCAACAAGGGCGGCAGCGTAATCGACACATCCGACCGAAGCAACTCGCGCTCCTGCAACGTCGGCACAACAACTATCGACGACTGGGCCCGACCCACGCTGCCATAAACGCACTCCCCACCATTGCTAACAGCAGCAGCACCTCCGCCCATGAAGAACGACAAATGTCTCCAGAACAGCACCAGCGCCTGCTCAACGGCAGAAACAAGCATAGCCGTGCTCTTGCCGATGCGCTGCGCCTGCTGGGTCAGCAACACAGATCCCAGCGCACGCATCTGCGCCGGCGCCAGGTCTTCTGAAAGCTCGACGTACGGTGATGCGCCCACGAGCTTGCGCAGGTCTGCCGTCGTCATCTCCCCGGAATTCTTCGCCAGCCGCAGCTTCTCATCGCGAGTACGCCGTCCGCGCTCGATCTGATGAAGCGATCGCCGCACAAACGACGTCAGCGTGGCCAGCGACGGCATGTAGTCCGACTCGCGGCTGTGCTCGATCGCCCACGAGAACGCTGGCCGGAACAACCGTGCTGCCTCGGACAATCCAACACCGCCCAGCGGCTGCTCCGTCATGGCCTGTGCGTACGACAGCGCATTGCGTACCACGGCATCGACAAGCTCGCTGGCCTGCTGCCCAAATACGGAGCCCTTGAGCTCGTTGCTGCCGCTGTCAGCCCCGTTCATGTCGTCGCTGCCGTTGGGAGACATCGCCGTAGATGTCCCGGCGGCCGACACATAAGCCTGCGCGCGCTCGACGTCGTTGGTCGCCACCAGGCGCTTGGTCCAGTTGCTCGAAGTGGCAAACTTTGGCAGCAAGGCCAGCATCGGCAGGTGCAGCGAGCTGACGCCAACATGGCCGCTTCCAGCCAGCGCCGCCTCACGCTCGAGAACCGCGCGCTGGCGGCCAATATAGAACACAAGCGAAGTAATGGCCTTGGCCTCGGTGAGAAGCGCGATCGACAGCGTCTGCGCCGGGATGGCCACCTCCTTGAGAACAGCCTCGAGCACGCTGTGGTGCTGCGAGACAAACCGCGCTGCCTTCATCCACAAGGTCAGGTTGTCGCGGCCGATGCGCGTGACCAGCACCAGAAGCAGGTTCAATGCGGGCATCAGCAGCTGGTGGTAGCGCTCGATCCGCGCCGGAATAAACGCGTCGGTGTAGCTCGCCGCCGCCTTGCCCTCGCTACTCACGCTGGGCCTCATGCCCAGGAACGCACAGTCGGCCAGAACGTCCAAGATACCGCTTTCCATCAGCTTCTCAGCTCCCTCCTGGCGCTGGGCCAAGCGCAGGAAGAAGGCCATCTTAGCTTCGTAGATGTACAGCGGGTTGAGCGAAGCCGGATCGGGGTGCAGCGTGGTCTGGATCGCCTGATCCTCGCGGCGCAGGATCGACCCAACAAACGACACAAAGAAGTTCTTGCGCACGAGGAACTGCACCACGCGGTTGACCCGCGCGTCAACGTTGAACAGCGTGGTCAGCGCGTCCAGAAGACTGAATGCAACTGTCTTCCACGCATCCGACGCATCGGCTGCGTCGGAGCTGACCGACTCGAGCAGACGATCGCCCAGGGTCGAATTGGCCAGGACACTTAGCGCACCAGCCACGAGCTTGTTCTTGGAATTGCGCCTGTTGACGCCGACGGAGCTCAGCGACGGCATGTCCTCAGCCTCAGCAGCCGCCAGCTTGCGCACACCGCCCAAGAAGTGGAGCATCGATGCGTACACGTTGCCGCGCAGCTGCAGCGATGACTGCGCTGCTGGAGTCAACGCTGCACCTACAAGCAGCTTCCACGCCTCAATAAGGGGCTCGACTGGCAGCTGGCTGTCGACAGCCGGCGGCAGCTGCCGCGACTGGCCCGAGATGCCCGGCTTGTTCATGGCCAGCGACGCGCGCGTGAGGATGCCAGCACGGATCCATTCGGAGCTCAAGCGCTCGGTAAACAGTGTCAGTGTTGACGCCAGCGCCGTCATCAGCTCAGTATGCCGCATCTCCTGCTCGGCAGTCGGTGGGCCAATCCACCAGCCCGGCGCATTCGCTGCGACCTTGCCCGGATGGTACACAGGGTCAACCTCGGCAATGACCTGCACCAGGCCGTGCAGCAGCTGGAACGCTGTGCGCTCGCGGCCGATGCGACCGCCAGTCTCAATCTTGTCCCACGCAGAGGTGACCACAATCTCGGCAATCTCCTTCCATCCGCGCAGCGCGCTGGCATAAGCAAAGTACAGCTCGCGCTCTTGGTTGGCAAAATAGCAGCGGATGACAAGGCGGCGGATGGTTGCGTTCACGCGCTGACGAGTGGCTGCGGCGCTCAGCTCCCCATTGGCCTCGAGCACGCGCTCAGCCTGACGCAGAAGCGCCACAAGCGCGTGCAGATCGTACACTGCACAGCCGCGCTCGTTGGCAACGGTGCAGGAGTTGATGTCGACGTTGAGAATGTCGGTGTCAAAGTAAGCGGCCTTGCCTTGATCAGACGTGGTCGCCGCCTCGTCCTCATCCATTGCCAGCGAATTGCTGAACTCGGTCAGATACTCGCGCTCGGTCTCGCGCTGCTGGCGGCTCAGGGCAACTGACGAGTCGCGATATGCCTGGCGCAGGCTGTCAAACACGGCCAGCAGGCGTATGCGCGAGTCCAGGAACCCTTGCGCCCCCCTGCCCGGCAGCAAACTGAACATCTCGCCGCAGTCGGCAGAACCGCCGTCCTGCTGGCTCGCGTCGCTGACCAGCCACTCGACAAGCAGCTTGGCCCGCGAGCGCGAATCCTGTAGCACCAGCGTGTGCAGTTCAAGGGCAGTACTGCGCCACAGCCACGCGCGCGCGTGCATCTGCGCATAGACCTTGATCGGGCTGTACACGCCGAGAGCGAGATCATCGCCGTCGGTCTCCTGGAGGTCGGGAACAATGACAGACGGCGTCGTGCTCATCTGCGTATAGAAGAAGTTCTCGCGCGCGCGCAGGTAGCGCATCGTCACATCGCTGGTGACCGGATCCGAGCACAAGTGGTAGATCAGGTGGAGGCAGCGCTCGGCAAGACGAGGCCGCTGCACGAGCAGTGCCGAAGACTGGATGTCGTACGACTCAAAGTCGTGGTGGTCCCTGCGCAGAATGTCGAGAATGGTGTGCATGCAAGTTGCGCGCTGCGACATTTCGGGCAGATCGTCGGACGTGGGCTTGGTCAGACTGAATCCAAGCAGGTAGTGCGCGATGGTTGGAGCAGGCTTGTTAGGCGAGATGTTGGCCAGAAGAAGGTCGATGATCGCCAGGCGGATAGACTGCAGTGGCGCAGTCGGCTGCTGATCCTCAAGCCCACTAGTGAATCCGCGCGCCGCTTCGCTGATCAGAGCACCCGACTGCGACTCGGCCACAACGTTGTCATCGGCCTCCAAGCAGCTTATAAAGCCGTGCATAATGCGCAGGCTCTCGTCGCTGTTGTCGATCAGGCCAACTAAGCGGTTCAGCGTCAGCATTCCTGACCCGCGTGCCAGGCTGTCGTCGACGCCGTTAAACACGGGGGAGTCGGACAGAATGTGCAGGATCTTGACAGTTGCCAGGCACACGTCGGGCGAGACGACGCAGTTGATATATGTAATTATCTGCACGACAGACTGGCGGCGCGAAAGCAGCAGGTTCTCCAACGTGGTCAGGGAGCGAGGCAGACTCAGTGGGAACCCGAGCACGTCCGACGACTCGAGGAGTGTCGGCACGACCGAGCACAGCAGCGTGTCCTGGATGCGCAAAATGCGCAGCAATATGCGAAGCGTGCTGAGCACGGAGAATGAAACCGACTCGCCCAAGTCGCCAGTAGCACTGTTCAGCGTGTCGACGCCGACGCTGAGCACGTGCAGCAGCGTTTCGAGCAGCTTGGAGCCACACAGGATGCGAATAGCAATTTCGAATCCAGGGTGGGTCACCAGCGCGCGCAGGGCCGAGGCATCAGGAGCCCGGCTCGTTCTTCCCTGCTGTTGCTGCTGCGCACTGCTGTTGGTGTCTGCAACCAGCCCGCTGAGGTCCATGGTACCCAGGCAGCGCTCAACGACGTCCAGCGACAGCGCGTAGACGCGCCACTTCTCGGAGGCGTAGCGGTACGAGCGCTGCTCTGTCTTGAGAAGCACATGGTCGAGCACAAAGCCGACATAGGGGCTAATTCCGGGAATACGGTATGATTCGCCCAGGTCAATTGGGATAGACGGCGACGACGCAGTGTACAGGATAGGGTCACGTTCCATGTTGGACAGTGCCGGGGCGCTGCTCGACGTGTGGATAAGCGTGCCCACCAGACGCACAAAAGCACGCATCTCAGGATACGTCTCGACAGGGGCCTCAATCTCCTCGAGCTCGT